AGAGCCCAACCTGTTCAGATGGCATAAAGGGCTTGCGCTACGCCTGGTCTGAATGGCCTTGTGAATACAAACAGTGCCCCATTTACAATCTACAGGAATTGCCCGCCCCTCCCTTCATTACATTTTCCCACAATAATCCTGCATGGATTTTTCTGTGAGTGAGCTGAGAGTGGAAAGAGGAATCAGCAGCTTATTTTGCAGACCAGAGTGCAGAAAAAAAAAAAAGAAGTATGGAGCACAGTTACAGCTTCCTTTTCTCAAAGTAGTAAACTTCTCAGGTTGATGACTGCAGAGAAGAATTTTAAAATGAACCACCCAGTTACTTACTTGCCAGAAAGGTCATAGTAGGGAGGGTGGATCAGTTGGTGATTCTTACTCTTGTTACCTGCCTGAGGTGCCGTAATAATTGGAATTATTTTATAAGTACTTCGCTAGAAATCAAACCACTTCTAAAACAACCCCTGGTTACCTGCACACAATCAAGAGAGCCAGGATTCTGAATGGCAAGGCAGGATGGGTGGTCAATAAAAGCTTCCTCTGGGAACATTGACATGTTTAAACGTAAGTCCTTCTGAAATTTAGCAGGCCAAGTTCCCAAGTACAGATATGGGTTGGATGGGCCAGTTGCAAAATGCTGGACTAGTCCAGCCATTTGCTCTTCTCTTGTCTCCAATTGATCTGCAAAGGAATGTTATAAGGAAAGCAGGGAACAAACACTCAACATTCTCCCCCCTCACACTTCTATGCAACTGTTAAAATGAATGGCCGAGCTATGGCATTCCAGATGTTGCTGGATGTCAATCCTTGGCAAGTTGAGTGATGTTGGCAGATGCATTAAAGTGATATCTAGACTGTGTATCTTGTCTGCCCTGGCGTGAACTACTATTGACCTCCAGATTAAAATAAAGGTCTTGGGTTTTCATTTTATTCCAGAACTACATTATGTTGTACTACCACTTGCAGCAACTAAGTCTCACAGCAAGTAAAACCCTTTCAAACATGAAATGTTACATTAAAAGCACAATATCACTTTACAAAAATAAGAACATAGAAGTGTGTTGCTTTTCTCAAGCAAAATCCTTGGCTCCAGCCAAAAGCCAGGGAGGTTTTCTCCATATTGGGTTTGGATCAACTTGATTTCCTCACTTGTGTATGTATGTTGTGTGTTTGTCTTAGAGGAGTAACCTGCTAGGATTTTGCACCCAAACTGAGCGAATTGGCATCTGTTGGATATACTATTTAAACCAGAGTTTTCCAAATTTGGCAACTTTAACTCCCAGAATTCCCCAGCCAGTCAGGCAGATGCATGAGGTTTCTCACTGTATAAGAAACAGTAATAATGGATTGGTCTTTGTTAAATAACACAGACTTGAGGGTAAGAGAAGATAGATGTTTCATGTGCTAGACTTATTTCAGCTAGAGGATTCCAGGTGGTAGAGATTATTTGACTTTGCTCTTTGAAAATTAACTTCTGGCATTGGGTTGTGGAATATAGATGGGTGAATCTGCCAATTTTAGTGTGTTGCGGATTTGTAATTTTATTAATTTAACAATTTCAAATGTTCTATTTCCATCTTAGCTGTTTTTTTAAAGCTTGAATCAAAATGGGTATTTTATTTTCAAATGCACGCAATCGTTTTGCTGTTTGAGCTAAAGTGTATTTCTGTACAGTAATTGGTTTTTCCTAATAACTGCTGTTTTTGAAATGCTGGCATTTTTGTACACTTACCTCAATGCCCTTTTTATAAATTGATGAACTTTGCACAATTCAGAGAAGTTGATACTTCAAAGGAGAAGTAAGATTCAGCTTGTCTCTTGATTGGACAATGCAGAATTAAGTTCATAATTAAATATGGACCAAGTGACTTCTCCATCCATCCTTACTGTGGAACAGCTGTCACTCCTGAATTGATCTTGTCCTCCTGTGGCAGAGTAAGATTGACCTATGACAAGGGTGGACTGAATGTAGATGGAGATGTACTTCAGATTAGCTGTGGTAGGGGTTTCTGAAGTCCATGATTTAGATGGGTTGTTTGCTAAATTAGGGAGCAAGTAGGAGGTGTGTCTAAGAGAATTTCAGTTGTGATTCTAAAAACAAATCCCTGGGTTGAATGTTCATTTAAAATGTTTTCAAGTGCTGTGCCTATGTTTTTGAGCCCTTGTATGGCTCTTTTCTTTAACAAATTTAAGAGTTGGAATGAAAAAGCACAGTGTTAACATTCCCTATAATTACATGGGTGTTGAGACAGCCAGGGCAAATATGGCAATTTAACTGCAAATGAAAGGATATGGAGTGTTTGCATGTAATATCCATTCTATTTTTTTTTAAATCAAGTCATGCTTAATTTAATGGAAAGTTTTACCCTAGATAAAAATACCTACTTTAAAATGAAATCTGCAGACAACAGCAAGATACGTGTTTGTCTACATAATCATTCTTTGAAAATGAATCCATGAGCCTCCAGCAGGCATCTCAAATTAAATCCTCAAATTTCTATGCAGAACAACTTCCAATGGAAAAAATTATTCATCATTTGAATTCATTCATTCAAAAGTATGCAATTATTCAGCACAGAGTTATGTTTAAGTTAGTGCAAGGAGTGATGACTTTCTATCCCAAAGAGTATAAATATTTGCCTAGTAGTTAAAATCACATGACATGGAGCATTCTTGTCACTTGTCCCAAACTTCCTAGCCATTCGTGTGTGTACCTGGGAGAAAACTCCAAACACTGTACAGGTAGTACTTGACATATAAGTTTGTTTACTGACTGTTCAAAGTTACAACGGTACTGCATCCCCATGGTCACATGATCAAAATTCAGATGCTTGGCAAATGACTCATATTTATTACGGCCATAGTGTCCCGGGGTCATGTAATCAGCTTTTCTGACCTTCTGACAAGTAAAGTCAATGGGGAAGCAAGATCCACTAAACAACCGTGTTACTAACTTAACAACTATGGCACTTAACTGTCTACTTAGCAACAAAACTGGCTCAATTTTGGTCGTAAGTCAAGGACTACCATTATGTCCTTAAGAGTAAACTGGAGCAGGGGCCAAATTTGATAATGTCTTTACAAGTGTACAAAAAGTGCCAGACAAAAATTCTTGATTTACAATTGTTCCTCTTTCATAGTTCCAGAAATCTATGGGTGTTTGGATTGTTGTAGATTGCATAGATAAATATTTTGGATAATGGTCTTGTATGATTTAAAAATGAATGAGTTATACTTTCATTGTTGTGCCAGTCAGTGTGTTTTTGTTGTTGTTGAGGAAATAATCTGCAGTAGCAAAGTGGAAGTATGATTTCCACCCATGATTAAAAAATTCCAAATTTTCTTTCTGATTTAAGTGGTCGCAATTAAAACAATACCCTCTTGCCTAGAAAATTGAATATTCAGTCATTCACCCTGGCAGGAATTGTGTAAAGGAAGTTAAGACCACTGATTTAAGTTTCAGTCTTCCCTCTAATAATGTGTAGGCTCTAAGAAATAAGAAACATTTTGGATCAGCTTAGTCCAGCATCTTTTTTCTCACAAGGTCTAGGGCAAACACAGATAGCTTCAGAATGCTTCCAGTCAGAGCTACATATTTGCAAAAAACTATAAGAGAAAAGGATTCCTGCAGTTAGATACAAGACTGACAATCCTGACACTGCATTGCCTACTCTGCAGTTTTTTCCCTTCTCTAAATATGCTCGTCTTTGTCATAAATAATATTCTTCTGTTTTTTTCTTTTACATTCTTAAGCCCAAGATCTTATTTGGTATATGAAAAAAAGAGAAAACAAACCGTGGTGAATTTTGTCAGTTGATAATACATTCTTTCTTTTGGTTACATCTTTTCAGTGTCTTTATGCTTTGATATCTTACATGGGGATGTAGTTAATATAAGCTCTCAATGTTGTCAGCGTTGGTTTACATTTTGCCTTTCCACTGAGCATTGAAGGCTGTTCGATTCAATTACCAGGAGATTCTATAATGGGTTTGCTAGGCCATTGATCTCCCTGGTTAAAGTTATTTGTGCCTGCTATAATTCACAACCACTATGTAACAATCTGCATACGTGGCTGCTTATAAAAACAGGAACTATCCATCTAAAACGCAGAACCGGTGCTGCTACTGAATGCTTGAAGCATTAGCTTAATTTGTATTGGATTTCTGTCTTCACTTCTTTCCAGGAACAGTTTAAAAGGCTGGTCTTAAACTTTAAGAAAACCCGTTTGAGGCCACAGTTAAAGCCACTGGGTTAGAAATTGGGAGACCATGAATTTTAGCCCCACATTAGGAACAATGCCAGCTTGGGGTGGGGGGGAGGACTTTGGACCAGTCCCTCTTGGTGAGACCTGGGAAGAAGACAAAGAGGAAATCACTTCCCAAAAAACGGGGCAAAGAAAACATTTTCAGGAAGAAGTCTCTGCAATCGCCAAGATTCAAGTCTGACTTGAAGGCACCAACTACAGACTCCCCCAAACCCACAGCCCTTAAAATTTAATTAAAACCATAAATTATTTAAAGCCAGAGCATTTCCTCTGAATACTTTGCTTTTTTTTTTGAGCCTGTTGCTCAGCTCTGACAAGTCAAATACTTAAATCGTCGAAGTTCAGCTTTGGCTCAGCATGTTTTTAACACTAACCATTTTTTTAAAAAAGGGAGCTTACCTAGCTGTTTTTAGTTTTATGCAATAAACAATGAATAAAGACCTGTGAACCTACTCGCTGGTCTTTACGGTGATAGTGCCAAGTTTAAAGAATAATATTTTAAATCAATTATCCAGATTTTTTTTTAACGTTGGAAAGGTGGTCCAGCTTATCAATGTCATCTAGCTTTTAAGCTTCACTTTATTGTGTAAAGCAATTAAGATGTATTTCAAACTGTCCCCTCCATGGATTTTGTGCACCCGCTCTTTTAAAAATGCGTGAGGTTTATTTTTTATATGTAAACTGCTTAGTGACTTCCGAGTAGAAAATGCGAGGTAACAAAAGTCCACTTTTAAAATGAAGATCTTAAAAGTATCCGACCAAAGCTTAAGGAAAGTGGCAGAGATTTGTAGGGCCAGAAGTGTTGAAGTGTTGAAGCTTTATAAGACTATAAAACAATGCAGAGGTTAGGGTTCAGTTAGAAAACTGGTGCATTTATATTTATTATAAGGGTGAAATCCATGGATGTAATAGCAGAAAACAAAGTATTAATGGACAAACAGTGGTCCAGCAAAAAGAAAAAATAAAGATGACCCAAAGTACACATAGGGAAAAGTCCTTTTTTGCGTTCAGTGCTCTTCACCAGTTTGAATTTTTCTATTTGGTGCAGAAACGAATCCATTCCTGAGTCAGTTTTCCTTGGCTTTCAGATCAGGTTTCATTTCTGGTATAAGAAAAAAAGGACTGTATTAAAATGATGCAGCAGTTCCTAGATTTGAATTGGATATTGTAATTCAGGTAATTGAACTGTTTTCCTCCTGGAGTTTAAGATGGAATATAATTTATTTATTAACCAAATGTATATACTGTAGCTTCCTGTCTCATGGAAAATGACTCTGGTAGCATATAACAACCCAATAAAATAGTATTACTCAGTTAGTCCTTGACTTATGGCTAGCCACATAGCAACTGTTCATAGTTATGATCAGGGGTCTTCAAACTTGGCCCTTTTATGACTTGTGGTCTTCAACTCCCAGAATTCCTCAGCCAGCGTGCCTGGCTGAGGAATTCTGAGGAATTCTGAGGAATTCTGAGGAATTCTGAGGAATTCTGAGGAATTCTGAGGAATTCTGAGGAATTCTGGGAGTTGAAGTCCACAAGTCATGAAAGGGCCAAGTTTGAAGACCCCTGGTGATGAATCCCCCACAAAAGGTATTTATGACCCAACTCCAAAGTTCCAACAGGCCCCGCCCCCTGCAATCACATGACTTCATTTTGGGCACTTGGCAACTGACTATGATTCACAACATTTTTGCTGAAAACCAGTGTTTACTTCCGGCTTTTGGCAAAAACTCCCCATAACAAGCAATTGATTTGCTTAATGACCACAGTGATTTGTTTAGCAACCACCACAAAAAGGTCATAAAATCAGGTCAGTCATGTGGGAAATAAATGATTCCAGCCCCAGCCCTCATGGAGTTATAGAAAGTGTAATTGCACAAGATTTTTCCTCCCACTTCCAAGGAAAGAAAATTCCCAGAGCTTTCCACAAAAGTAGGAGAACTTGTGAGGTCTACTCAGTTACAGCAAGTGTTGATTAAAATAACACCTTGGCTTATATAAAAAAAAGTGCACAACCTCAGACTACAGTAGTTTGGGTTGTATTTGGTTATATTCCAAACAAAGACACCACAAAGACTCAGTGGGGTTTTTTGGATATCTGGAATGGAGCAGCCAAAGAGGCTGCAGAGTATTGGAGCAACAATTTACATGGTTGCCCTTTGCTCCCTTGTAACGAAAGAGAAGACACAGATATCAAAAGAATACACCTTGAGCATGAACTAGAGAAACAAGAACTATGTTTTGTGCAGTAAAAAAAACAACAACACCCTGGGAAACCAGCAGATTTCAGCACAGCTTTCAGTGGGAGTTACTTACCAACTTCATTCTCACGATGGAACAAATTCTCGTTGGCACTGGAATTATGCTTTGGCTTTGCTAGCTGCAGGCCTCCAAGAAGAGTCATAAAATCTACTACTGTGTCTATGCTTTCTTTGTTGGGTGAAATATCCTTGAGAGTACTCAGTACGCTCAGTCTACTGAAAGATTTGACCTCCGAGATGTTGGCTCGCAGGAAGAGCAAGATGATGTTGAGATCGTTGAACGGGCAAGTCAGCATTTTCTTGCTGAGGAGATCAAATGCCGGCAGCATTTCATAAATGGACAGAAGCCGCTTGTCCCACTGACACAGCTGAAGCAGGTGGTAGAGGACCACTGGGCCCAGAAGGATGTATACAGAGCCAAGACAGATGCTGGTAACTTGGAAAACGGAGAAGAAAACCAGCTTGCAAGGAATCCAATCTGGAACATCAGAGTCTTCTCCCAGGAGCCCGGCCTTGATTGAACATCTGAATTTGTCGTGAAAAAAGACCTGCAGGTGACAGTATGCCAAGTAGAGGCAGCTGACAGCCAGAAGAAAAAGGAGGAAGAGGTTCCTCAATACATAAATGATGATCAAGTAGTGGGAACGTTGCTTGCAAGTCAAGTACCTCTCCAGGAGAGGGAACTCAAAGTATCTCTCACTGCGAGCCCTGGGGAGGGAAAGAAAAAAAAAGAAAAAATATATGAATAAACTAGAACTCTTCTAGTAATGTGCTACTTTTCCACATGCGGGTCTTAAAAACAACCAACACAGAAGAGGACATTCTTAGAGGTTAAGGAGGAATAATCCCAAGAATAGCCACTGGTATTTATTATGAATGCAGGGAGAAATTTGCAATGTAATGCTTTCCTGTTAAGCTGTGGCTTTGTAAATGAAAATTCCGGGAAGAGGAGAGAGAAATTTAGCACGCAGATCACCTTTCCGTCTGCCACTTACAGGTCAAGCTCCTCCCAAAAGTCCTCTGGATCCTCTTCCGATTGCTGGAGCTTCACCATGTATTGCACCAAGCGGATGGAGCGGTTATAGGATTTATCTAGTTCATCGATGATGAAGAACAGATCGCAGTTGAGTGAGGGGGCGGCTGCGTATTTCCACAGCAGATAAGGCAGGTACATAGCAACTGCGATGACCAGCAAAGAATAGGGGAAGATCTAGAAAAACAGAACAAAAAGAGAGTACTGTGGTCAGCTGAAGGGTAGAACAGTGTTTCTCAACCGTGGCCACTTTAAGAGGGGTGGAGTTGAAGTTCACCCCTCTTAAAGTGGCCAAGGTTGAGAAACACTGGGGTAGAAGACTACAAATTACACCCTGGGCTCCACATGGTGTGCACCCAAGAGATAACGGATAGTGTTCTTCTCCACCCCAATACCTTGAAGACCCAGAGGGAATTGGATGTAGCGTCTCCTGCTGGTTCAGAATTGTAGCGAAGCAAAGAGTCCCAACACACGGCATCAACAAAATGAGACTGTTCAGCTGTGAAGTTGCTAGGAGAGAAGCAGCTGATCTGGGATCCTATGACAGAGAGAAAGAGCCGTATTTATCTCCACCCTTCTTTCCAGCACTGCAGCATCCATCAGCTTTAGAAGGCCAGATCCTGAAGTTGAAACTCAAGTACTTTGGCCACCTAGTGAGAAGGAAGGACTCCCTGGAGAAGAGCCTAATGCTGGGAAAGATTGAGGGCAATAGAAGAAGGGGACGACAGAGAATGAGGTGGCTGGATGGAGTCACTGAAGCAGGAGGCGTGAGCTTAAATGGACTCCAGAAGATGGTAGAGGACAGGAAGGCCTGGAGGAACATCCATGGGGTCGCGATGGGTCGGACACGACTTCGCAACTAACAACAACAATCACAGTAAAAATAGAGCGCTTCTCTGTTATGTTTTGAACCACCTCTAGCAAGGATTGTCTTCGTAGTCAATCAAGATGAGATCTGTGCCCAGCCTTAATCCCTCCAAGACAGCATTTGGGATCAAACTGCTCCCCCCCTTTTTTTTGTTAACTAATTAAGAGATTGGCCCCATTATGCTGTCACGGTGCTATGGCAGTTCTTGTAAACTGTTTCTGTTCATCATCGCGGTAGGCTGGGTGTGCTAAAAAAAATAATCATTCCCTAAACATATTTTACAAGCTTTGAGACAAGCCAAAGAGAGAAATAAGTTTTGTTTATTCCATCTGGATGGACTAAATCTCACACAGGCATCCTTTTCCAGAAATAAATTCCTGAGGCAGGCTGTGAATTGCAGCCATGAAACCTCATCTAACCAATGTCAGACTTGTGCAAAGCCACACACAGCTCATCCTGTTTTTGGTACACGTTATCAAACGAGACACTGTTGCTTCTGGAATGGGTACCTTTGTATCCTCCCTTATTCAGTGTAGTGCTGGCTATTCTGAATTATCCTTTTTGTGGTGTTTAATGGGGCTTGTTTCCAAGGAAAAATACCTAGAATTGCAGCTGCCAAGCTTAACAGGAATTATTTTGAGAAAGAAACATCTGGATGTATTTCAGTCTCTTTTCCAAGATACATATATGGATTCAGCCCTTGCATCACAAAGATCCCACTGAACGATAGTGATTGTTTGAAGGCCATGAACTTCATGGCTGGGTGAAAATTTGAAGCTGGATTTCTCCAGACTACTCCCATTTGATATTCTCTGTCATCTCTGAACTTCCCTTTAGTTAGTTGGAGAACTCCACTGGACAGGAAGTGCGGTCGGCTGCTACCTACTGCAATGTAATCCTGTACATGGAATAATTTTTAACTGTCTCTGGAAACAAACATCCAATTTGCCCTGTATAGAAGCATCACCCAGGCTGAAGATTGACATGTTTTCTCAATCACTGTCTACCAGAAGTAAAATGTCTTTTAAGGTCACCGTTTTCAGTTCAGGGGAGATTTCGCATTTTATGTGTTAAAATTGCGAGGTGTGGTTTGAATGCGCTTTACAGTTCAATGCCATATTTATTGAAGCCCCAGGGAATCCAGAGAGGTCCAATTGCAAGGCTTCAGATATGTAAATTCCTGGATTGATTTTGCAAATGCTAAATTCGCTATCAAAGTCTGTTTCAAGTTAGCATACTGGGCTTGCAGTAAACTCGGTTTAAAAAAAAAAAAGAGGAACATTTTTGTCCTTGCCCCCTTCTGCTGGCATCTCCCTATCGGTGGCCATGTCTCCTCAGCCCCACGGAAGGCCTCCTCAAGAAACAACAGCCACCCCCAGCCCCCCTTCAAAGAATAAATAAATTGACCTACCGGTGGAAAATTCCTGTGCAAACATGAGAGACACCAAGAAGAGCGGCAGCCCCACTGTGACAAACTTCATGATGCGATCGCACGGCAGCTCCAGGTAAAGCCCTTTTGCTCCGGACCTGTTTGGGTCTGGAAGCAGCGCATCAGAGAGCATGTACTTTCCAGCTGTATTTGCGATCGACATGGTTCGGGTCTGAAGGGGCCAAGCGTGCACGCACAGAAGACACAGCTTCTCCAAGGGCTCAGCTACATCTAAAGAGGGAGGTGGCTTGACGATGGATGCCTTCTCTCCATGGGGAATTAAGCATCGGGCAGTTGTAAATGACCACCTTGGCTGTTTGCTAAACAGAATGATAATTACAGGATCTCTGCAACTACCCTCCGCCCAGAAATAGAGCAGTTGACCTGGGTATGCCGTGATTGGTAAGGGCCCCGCTGTCTTTGGCCAACCGCAGGCTTAACATGGCAAGGCTGGGCCCTGTGGTTTTATCTCCCTCTTTCATAAGCAGATGTTATTTCTAGCCACCGCTGGTAAGGAGGTAGGCCCGCGTGTTTGATTTTCAGACTCGGGAATCTCCAGGGGTGGATATTAAATGACTGGCCGACAGTTCATATTTTCAGAGGTGAAAAGGGGCAGAAAGAAACCCACTCAGAATTCCTACGAATTTTATTTCTGTGGTTTAGTGACGTGAGTGCGCAACGCTTTCTTCTGCATTTGCTGTAAAAGCCAGATGAAGAAATTTCAAAAATGTCGTCGCTATTTTTCCCTTCTCTCAACTCCCTCCCCATCAAATTTAAATGCAGCCCAGTTCTAAAACATAGTTTTGAGGATCCACAATTTAGATAATCCACAACTTGCATGTGGCCATCAGACAAATTGCGGGTGCTCCTAGAGCATATTGCTTAAACTGGTGGCAAAACCAAGTGCCAGCTGTGTGATTTTCCTTGCTAAAATAAGAACCAAAATAACATGTTAAGTCTCCAAAGCTTAACATACGAGAAGATTTCAGGGAACCTCAAAAAGCTTGAGTGGGTTAAGGCACATTTTTAGCACACTACAATTGATAAGGTTATCTATCTCACATATACCCTGTCTCTCCCCTCCCCCTCCACGCTATCCCAGTTAAAATCCTATGTCAGTTTAGCCATTCCATGCATCTGAGGAAGTGAGGGGTAATTCACAAAAGTTTATGCTTTGATCGTAGACTAACATAACTCTCCTCCTGTAAACTACAGTGGCTGAATTCACATACACGTGGCTTTCTAAGGCTACCAAGACCTCGTTTTCTTTACACATAAATCAGTATGTTTTTCCTCCTGAAATACTTTTGATTTATATATAGTACTAATCCTTTAACACAGTTTATAGTACTAATCCTTTAACACAGGGCACTACCTTTTGGCCTCGAACTGGTGGTAAATCTGCTCCAGGATCACGGGTTCTCAGTAAACTTCCCCAAGAGCCACATGGTACCCACAAGACTGTTACACCTCGGGGCCATCATAGACACGGTGGAGTGCCGGGTGTATTTATCTCAAGAACGCCGAGACAACATAAGAGAGTCAGTCCTCCAAGTACGCATGGACGAACAGTATCGTTAATCAGTCTTTCCAAATTGTTAGGACAGATGATCTCGGCCATAGCAATCGTCCCGTGGTCCAGGCTCCACTCCAGGGAACTGCAATGGTTCCTACTCCCTTTCCAGAGGCAGAACCTCAGTGCTTCTCAACAAAGGGTAAGACTCCCACATCAGGTGTCGCGCTCCCTCAGGTGGTGGCTATCACCTGCCATGCTCAGAGGGTCGCTTTTCAAGGAGCCAGACCGGATACTGCTAACGACCGACGCCAGCCTGTTCTCAAAATACTTTTGCAGTAAACAGTCAATCAACCCCAATATGTTATTCTAATTTTTGTAAGAACCATTCTAAATTACTTTAATAACAGTGCTTATCTGTAATTTCTACAATGCCTATACTTGCAGCGTTAGGGAAATAACGGATGAAATTCAGTGGAAGAACACAATTGGCATGGAAAAAAAGCAGGCTGAATCCGGGCCCTCTCCAGCTGCCGTTCAGAGTTGATAGATAGCAGTAGTCAGACCTGGGATAAAGCAGCTACATGTGCTATCACAGTTGCGAAAGAAAAGTTGAGGCTGACTTTCCTAAGGCTGTTCTGTAAGTTCATGGCAGAAGCAAGATGTGAACCAAGAACTCCCCAATTCATAGCTCCATCAATTATTGTACACCCCAATCATTAAGAAACCTCTCTCCAGTGTCCCAGTTACATCACATTCATTCAGCACAGGCCACATCCTTTATTTAAGCAGAACAGCTAACTCTGTTTGGCTGAGCGTCAGCCAATACTGGAAAAAACATGCCCAATTAATTCTTATTCCAGATGTAGCAGCTCATATAAACCACTGAATTCTTCCAAATCTCCCAGTTGCATCTGAAACCAGCATACAGGCCCTGGGAGATTGGTGACTGTTCCTCAGTTTGGTTTTCAGTTGCTAGGCAGGCGTTTCCTCTGAAAGGCTGCAAGCTTCCAGAGAAGCATACGTTGTGATTTCCCAGCTGAGAACATCAGGTTCCGGGCGCTTCACCTTTCACGGGATCCTCCCATGGCTTTAGAAAGTCAGGAAAAGGCGTTCCATGAACGAAGTAGCCTAGCTAATCACTCTTAGTTTCTTTTTGTTCCGGTTTTGGAAATTCTAGCTTTAACCGTTTTAAGGAGCGCGTGAAGAAGACGGGTGGCTTGCAAAACAGGTGGATTTTCTGCTCCTCACTGCTGTTTATTGGAGGCAGGGTGAGCTCGCAGGCATGTAGGTGGAGAGGGAGGTAGCGGGCTTTGACTTGCTCCAAACCCAGTTTCTTCAATGTACCTGGAGAGAGTTTCTATGTATACATTAAAAAAAAGAAAATAAACGATGATCCACTTGCATTTCTAATTACGTTGAATCCAACAAAATGTTATTTGGCAATCCTAACTACCCTGAAGCCCACCCTACCATTTTCTTGGATTTTTAGTTCAGGGCCATATCCATCCAGGTTCTTCTTAATACCCCTCTTACCTGTGGCGCTAGCTTGCTCCAGTGAGAATACTTATGATCCCCAAGGACTACGCAACCTAAACCATAAGCCAAGTGGACTCTGAGTTGATGCTTCACTCCTGCATAATGAATAACATATGGGGAAAAAAAATAAGAGGTGTAACCATTAAATATATATCGTTTGGTTTTGGTCAGATTATATAGAATCATTTTTAGATGCAATTTACCTTGAGGGGAAATTTTAAGCTTTGCTTAGTACAAGCAGCTTGATATACAACTTTTAGCAGAAAAAAGCAGAAAGGGATATGAATAGCTTAACAGTACAATGTCTTCCCTTAAAGAGACATCCCAAGTATACAGATATTTTTCTTCCACCAGGCTTTGGCCTTAAGTGTTATGTTATACTTTATATTTTCTTATTTTACCGTTCTTCTCAATTCTTTAATCCTTTCTGCAATATCTATTATTTTATTGTTCTAACGATGCAAATCTTTGGTTATTGCATACATCAAAAAATAATTAAGGTTTCAATTGGATAGCATTTCATTTAGATTCAGTGGGGAAAAACCCAAGAAGATAAAAAAAGGTCATTTTCAGATGCTTGAGGGAGTTTTATGGGTATTGATATGACGTTTCTTAACCCCAATTGTTAGAGAACAGGAAAGGCAATGAGAAGCATCAAAGAAAGGAGTATGTAATTGCTTGCCTGTGATTGGTTCCAATTCAAGGAGAGAACAAGTGGACCAGTTGCTCAGCACACGATACTGGGTCACTGCCAAGTGAGCATCTTTGTTCCGGCGCACTTTGCGCAACTTTTTGTCTTCTAAAGATAGACGATAATTTGGCGCAAGTGTCATCTAAGTCAAAGACGCACATGACTCAAAATCAATTCTTCATTAACATCCAAAAAGCCAATAGGACAACAGTTGAGAAGATTAATGGGTTACATAGAATGGAGAAAACTGTTGAATTGCTCCACTGTTAATCCAGACTTACATCATTTAGGTACTGCAGCTAGAGAGGAACAGGTAACATAAGAACTTTTAGATCTGTCATCTCTCAGCCCTAGGAAAAAGGGCATGGCAAACCACTTTTGAAAATGTTATCTAGAAGACTGCAAGGACTTGTCAAGCCAGTTGCTAAGAATCAAGACTGATTTGAAGGCACCAACACACACACACACCATTCCATAAAGCACCCCACAACCTAGTGCAATTATGACACAGCAGTGATACTTAAGATACAAGTTGTTTAGCATTTCTTTCAAGAACTGGTAACCATGTTGGTGAAGATGCTGGCAAGTTTCCTGAATTGAGTGTGCTAATCCTAAATCTGCCTAACTGCTGTTTGGTAAGCAGTAACTAAAACAGAGGTCTCCAGGTGAAATGCTGTGGCCAGAATCGGCAGATCTCTGCTGCCGGGAATACTCACTTTGAAGTGCTTCTGGTGGCTCTCCACCTCTCTCTCCAGAATGGGAATGTCCACCAGCCCCTCTTCCGGCTCTGGTTTTCCAATACAAATCGCCCTATGAAAAGAACAGAGAGAGATTTCAGTCCTCTCCAATAGTAATCCACACACTCTGCATGAAGAGCAAGGACTGCTGGGTTCGTAGGCAACCTTGGCTCTTTTATGACTCGTGGACTTCAACTCCCAGAATTCCTGAGCCAGCATGGCTGGCTCAGGAATTCTGGGAGTTGAAGTCCACGAGTCTTAAAAGAGCCAAGGTTGCCTACCCCTGCTATAACTCATACTGCAGAAGGGCGGTCCTTAGTAGATTCTTGGCTTACTGAAAACCACTGTTTCTTATCAAGTCGCAATAACTTAACTCATCACTTGTACGATTTCTCCTACCAGTATTTCTTTTCCACCTGACGGGTTTTAAACATCTCTTGGACCCGGTGTGCAATCATCTCATCTTTCGCTAGGACCATCACTCCAGTAGTTTCTTTGTCCAGCCGGTGACATAAATGCAGAGGTTGAGCTTTCATGCCCCCTAACATCTTTGCCAATATTGGCAGCACATCTGTAATGCATGTCTTCACCCGAGGGCCACCTGTGAAGTAGAGAGAGACTAGGTTTATTTATAATGCAAAGGCATAAAACCCGGCTTACAAATAATTGTTAGGTGCCTTTATTCAACCAAGCTTAACCAAACTATTTCATGCTTAACACAAATCACCTAATTTCCAAAGCTACGGGTTTTTTTTATTGGTGCTACAGCATTTCCAAATATCAAACTCAAGTTGGACCAGTTTCAGGAAAAAAACATTTTTTTATGTTGAGCTACCTGTGAAAACACATTAGTGTAATCTGAGAGTCGGGTGTTCTTTTTGCTGCTCCTCCAATATTTACCATCAAAACATACATGCTCAGACATATGATGATGCCAGTTTATTTTCATTGGTTTTAATACCAGTTTATGCAGTATACAAAAAGAAAAGAAAAACCTGACAGCAGGGTTTGCTTAGAAAATCCACAATATAAAGCATCTGCCACATATATAACTAAGAAGTCTCAAGCTACTTTCTGAAAGCAAAATAAGACTTATAAAGCCTCAGAAACCGACGCAAAATCATTTGACGTCTCAGCAGGACTTTTATTACCCAACTAGTCTAATACATTTTGATCAACACTGCTAGAAAATCAGCATTATATTACACTTACCATGGACAGGAAGTCCATAAGGCTTGTTTATTACTACAATATCTTCGTTCGTGTAGAGGACCCCCTGTTTGAGAACCTTGGCTAGGACGTTAGGATGGAGCTGCTGGAAGCATCGGGTCTGCTGAACATATTCTTGCACTCGCCTCAGTACTCGGTCTTTTGGAACCTTTGAATAGTCAAAGAACAAGTCAGGTAGTTAGTCTCTTTACTGCACAGCTTTGGTAGCAATAGCATATAACAAAGCAGAAATGCATATAAGACAAGGTGTCAAAGAAGGTGCTACATAGAAAGTACATATGTTAGGGGGATTTTTGCTTTTAGGGAAGGGTGAAAATTAATGTGAAGGTGCTATAGAAAAAATGATAGTATGGCTGAGAGAGAGAGAAGGGGGAGAGAAGGAGGGGGAAGAGAGAGAGAGAGCAGTTCTTCCATCTCATTTGTTAAAGTCTGCTTTTCCAAGTTTGGAGAATCCACTAATTGTTATTCAAAGATAGATTCAAATAAATCTGATGGAACAAAACTGAACAGCTAAAGAGAATGTATACTCCAGCCATGCTTTTTTTTTTCTTTTTTGGAAGATTATTGCAGCTTACTTCGATGCAAACCTTTTAAAGTCCTGGGTGGCCTAAAATATAAATATTCATATAAATATAAAATATGAACGATTTTATTGGAAAGCTAACAGGATGGCGGGCAAAGAAATGCTATGAATAGGAAGGATAATCGCATCTGTCCAGAGCCAGGTCAGATCACTTACTGGTCAAGCTGTGTCTGCTTAGAAATCTCTCCCTTTCCCCTCAGCATAGCCTGGCTCAGGAATTCTGGGAATTGAAGTCCACGAGTCATAAAAGAGCCAAGGTTGACTACCCCTGGTCTACACAATAGAATCCTTCACAATGAACGGGGAGGGTAACACACGTCATTATTCCTGCATCTCAACAAATCCTTCTAGGATTCTGCACACCACAAAACTACCATTGCCGCATCGCGCGTAGCTGGGAGACCCAGTTCGCTTAATTTTTAAAGTTCTAGCCACCAATGCACGCTGGGAAATGTAGTTTCTCCGTGGTGCATGCTGGGAAAAACCAACAACCCCCAACCTCATGATCCCCAATCAAGCCAACAGATTCACCTCCGGGGCCACTTTCGGCTTCTTCTGCTCCCGCAGCTTCTCCGCCATCTGCTCAGCGGTTACCGAAGCGGCCGCGGCTGGACTGTGGGAAAAACTCCTCCGAAGAGCGGCGGCTCGCAGAAATGAGCAAGGAACGTTTTGGGCGGCCATTTTCTTTCGTGTCCACGTGACGTCAGAAAGGGGGTGGACTAAACTCTTCCACGTCACGCCCCTTTCCCTCGCGGGCTATCCTCGCGCCTTACCCGGAGGAGGCCCACCAATCGCGACGTCCGTCCAATGAGACGTCGGTGCGACGCTCAATGCCCCACCTTCTCTCTCTCCCCGTCCAATAACCTACAGGAAGAGGCGGAGCCAAGCTGGGCAGACCAATGAGAAAGACAAGAAGGGAACCTTTACAGCCAATAGGAACGTGCCGGCGGCTAGGTGGGTCTTGGTTTTCAAGAACGGCAGTTGAGAAGCGGCGTTAACGGTTGTCTGGCAGCCGGGAAGGCAGCGCGGGCGGTGGTGGCCAGGTACTCGCGGTGGGACCGAGCCGGGGGAGCGTCGCGAGGCTCAGCCCGCTCAGGAAGAGAAGCGGGTGGATTCGGAGCCGGCCGGAGAGGCGGTTAGAAGAAGGGAGGGGAGGCGGTGAAAGCGCGAGGCTGAGAAAATCCCACTTTTTTTTTTTGTGGCGTTTAGTCCCTGCTCTCCAGCCTCGGAAAGCAGCGTTTCAACCCTCAGCATGCTGACCGGGGGGATTCTGGGAGTTGAAGTCCCCACTGAGTGGCTGAGGTTGAGAAGCCCCGTCCCCGTGGATGGGAAAGTTACAAAGCAGCAGCTTCGGAAGCCTGCTCGGGTGGGAGTTTCCTTCGCAGTAAATAATGTTCGTTTTAATATATGTGATCTGTAACGTGAATAAGTAAGCCTAACCCTAATATAAACGGTGTGACCACAAAATAATTTTATTCTAAGGCAGTGGTTCTCAACCTTTTTAATGCCGCGACCCCCAACCGGTTGTAAGTCGAGGACTAAACCGGTCGTAAGTCGAGGACTAAACCGGTCGTAAGTCGAGGACTAAACCGGTCGTAAGTCGAGGACTAAACCGGTTGTAAGTCGAGGACTAAACCGGTCGTAAGTCGAGGACTACCCAACCGGTCGTAAGTCGAGGACTTTCCCTGCCCGGGAGCGCCGCGCATGCGTGGCTCCGCCCCCTGCGCCGGCCGAGGCGTAGCTGCCAAGCGGCAGAGACGGAGCAGGCCGACCACCAGCTGGCCCAGCCCAAGGGAGGTAAGGCACCCGCCAGAAAAGGGGAAAAAATGGCGGACAGCCTTGCTTGGCGACCCCCGGGAAATGGTCGATCGACCCCAAATGGGGTCCCGACCCATAGGTTGAGAACCGCTGTTCTAAGGGGCTGCTCGGTAGAGATGGGTCAGAGAATTAGCCCGAAAGGGATTCTGTGATGGCTAGAACTTGAAACGCGATATTTTTGCTATAAATGTTAGCAAAACCTCGTTCCGCTACAGATTTTTTCCATTTGTTGTTAATCCCAATTAGTGTAGGTCTTAATATTTATTCTGTTGCTTCTTTTCCAGGTCAATTTCATGAACATTTTGAAGGAATGGTAGTTGCTAGAAGATATTACAGGTATGAGAGCCCTGTTTAATTCTTGTAAACAAAATAGCATCAGTTGTGTGATAGGAAGAGCTTGATTGCTGTATCCAGTTAGGCGTGTAGTTACTGCATTTGAAGACTGCACAATTTCTCTCTTCATAGGGAACTATTCACAGACACCCTAAATCATGATTTACTTTGGTTTATTAAATAACTCGTCGCTGACTCGCTTGGGTAAAAATGAAAATGCTAAATCATGGTACAATAATTACATTGTCTAGTTTACGTATTATGCTAAGCCACAAGCCACTTTTGGCTTAGTGTGTCAACCCAACCAAAGTAATGGTGTAAGGATGTACTAGGAAAATTAGTTATAGAGCCTAGTCACTCATGTAAAAACTTCTGACGGCTAGATTTATAAATTACATCAATTCGCCATTTAACTACTTTTTCCAACAAGCCATGCTGGCCGTTTAATATTCCCAACTATTCTAAATCTGATCACTCATAGGCTGCATGATTGTTTATTTTTAGCTGAATAATTTTGTACAATCTCAAAAGGACACTTTTGCAATCTATTATTATATTGTACAGCCGTGGAAATGGGTTTCAGGTGTCATAAGCACCATATTTGAGCCTGCACTAAGTTGTACGCCATGGTTTGCAATCCATAATGACTGAATTCACTTGTTATGCTAAGAAGATACCATATCCTGATTTAGTAAAATGTATGAACTAAGCTTATGATTTGAGGCTTTTTATGTCTTTGTCCACTGATTGCTGTACATTTCAACAGATGATTTTTTTAAATATTTCATATGGCATTCTGTAATTACATTATGCTGTTCATAAAGTGTATGTAGAGATTTCTAGGGGAGTAATCTTCAGGATCTTCCTTCATGAGAGACAATGAAATCATATTCAGATTTTCTGCCGAGTGTGTTTTTTCTTCTGTTCAATGATGTCCAATTCTCGAAGATCGCTTGGACAAGTTTTCTTGATAAGGTTTTTCAGAAAATAGTTTGACATTATATCTCTGTGCCCAGGGTGGGACTAGAACTCATAATCTCCTGATTTCTAGCCAATACCTTACCCTGTATGCCAGATAAGGTTCTCACCAAATGTTTAAAGCAGGTTAAAAAAAAAAGTTTTTTAAAAATATGAGAAATGTAAAGGGCCGAGAAATTTGTATAACTAGTATTTTCTGGAGAAAACAAAATTATTAAAATACAATTCCCTTGGAAGCGTTACCTACTTATATAGCTTCCACCATATTCTGAATTACTGTTTTGGCAAGTATAATTTTTAAAATCATTATTTACAACTATTTATGGCTGCATATGGAAAATATCTAATGGTTAAACAAAAACGTAATATCAGGATCTGATTCAGTTTTTTTTAATAATTGGATATCTGCCTGTTAGTTATATAACAAAATATTTATTTTTTGAAGGTTAAAGGGAATGTATGAAAGTCTACATGTAATGTAATTACCATTATAATTTTAGATATCTGCTTAAGGTAATTTCATTTGTTTAAAGATAGCAAGATAGCGTCAATAAAATTCAGTCTGTACTAATACATATCCTTTTTGCAGCTTGTTCTGGAATTTCCTTGTCGAATTCAATAGAATCCACCTGATTGCTCTTAATTTCCATTTGCTCATCAAATTCCCTTTCAGGATGCTTTGTTTTTTTCAAATTTGGTTGTTCAATGCGTCCTCGGCGCACAAAATGACTGATACGAGATTCTAGACCTTCACATTTAGGCCGATCCATTAACGGTTTGTAATTGCGGGCTTTCACTCCCTCGATTAAAGCACTAATCTGGTTGTGGACTGGTGGTGTTACCTCTCTCCAGAGTATTGTTGTGCTGTTGCTTGAAGCTGTAATCAACAATTAGTCATCATCAGAACAAAAAAAGAAAAATCATAGCATTTAATTCACTAGTTGCTTCTGACCTTTGAAGTAGTTCTAAATATATTGGAACTTGTTAAAACCACTCCATTTAATACAGTTTTAACATATTGCTGGATATATTAGTTAAATAAAAGGAAATGGTTCTTTCGAAACAAAATGCTCATTATACATGAAGAGAGTTGTACATGTGTATAAAATGACAACATTGAATTTTACAGATAGACCAAAACACATAGTATACCAGCAGATTTTATCTACCACATGTTAAATTGAAGCTTCATTTCAATACAGTTTAAAAATATCATTCTTCCTACCTGGCTCTGTAGGTATCTTTGCAAAATCCAGGCCCCATAACATACTGTACAGCATCTGAGTTTTAATAGCGTGGTTCGTCCAAAGCTGCTGAAAGCGTGTAACGTTAAATTCCTGGACTTGATGATCATAGATCCACTGGATGTTTTCAAACTCACAGTCATATAAAACTAGAGGAAATTCCACTGCCATGCTGCAAGGTAATCAACTTGAATTAGTACAAATCACGTAATTCCAAAAGAGCGCACATTGCTTTGAAAATGCTATAGCTTTTGGCAAGAGATCCAAATTATGAAATATAATTTTAACAAGGCATGCTCAAATATAGAGAGCCAATGCAGTAAGAGAGTGCATGCTTTCAGGAATTCCTACCTGTATTGTGGTTTCCTAGGATTGGTTTCTATATCGAACAGTTCATCAATAATCTCAGGCTTCTCCATCCTTTGTCCAATCAGGAAGAGGATGGCCATCATGCAGCGGACTTGGTGATAGAGGAATGCCTGTCCCGTTACTTGAAACGCATACATTTGGAAAGGGTTTTGTTCTTCCACTTTCCTTTCTTGATCTGCAAGCTTCACTTCTGCAGACAGGATTGTCCTCTGAAAGTTGGTCACACCGTTGGCGACGTCCATTTTGCAGAGATTACGAAAATCGTGGTTCCCTACAAATCTTTGAGCTGCAGTATTCATAAGAGCGACATCCAGGTCCGCACAGGGGAACAAATAGCGATAGGTCCTCTTCAGGCAACTGAATCTAGCACTGAAGCTAGGATCTACAGGGACCCATGCTAATACTCTTATGTCAGGAGGGAGCACCTGATTCAAAATATGGGTGTAGCGGATCTCCTCTGAAATAGGACTTTTACCTTCTGTTGCAACCCCAGATTTATTCTCCGAAAGGTTTGACCGGAGATCCAAAGAGATCACCTGAAACATTGCGAAAAAAATGTGATTCTAGGGTTAGATACACATTTTCAGTTGAATTATCATTGAATAATTTTCCTGTTTATCCAGTGGTGAAGAGCTTTCAGCTAACTGGCTGAGGTATAATTTTTTTTGATATCCTGTTGTTTTCATAATTTTCCTATTTACTTACAATACATTCAGAAATGCCTCTTGTGCCCAATAAAATATAATTACAACCAGAACCTTAATGCTGAAATACCACTATCATTGGGATTGCAGTAGTAATAATTTTGATTTAGTGGGGCTTTATAAGATTCTGCGTGCAATGGACTACATTTCCATGACAATTATAGGTCATTTGCATAATGGTGTTAGGCACAGAATACATTTTGGCCTAAATGACATTACTGTAATGGAAATGACACCGTTTGGCAAA